ACTATTTAGGAGCAGTGATACTATAAATATTACTCAAACTCAGATTTTTATAGGTCCTGAAGTATGCGATTAACTTCATAGTTGTGTGTTCTTAGCTTCTCCACTTCCCTACATGCTGCCTTTACTCTAGATTGGAATGACATTGGTGTGGGGCTGGGAGCATTTTTGGTACGTGGAACTTGTTGGGTCCAGCAAGCCTGGCATGTTTCACCATGTGTTTCTACTTCAGTGCATATGAGAGCAGCAGCAAGGGGTTAGATTGGGCTACCCCTTCCTCCTCCTCCTCCTCTCCTGCTCAACTGTCACATTTGTTTTTACTGTTTTTACTCTTCCCCCCTTTGATCAGCATTGTGTTACCTTTGTTTTTACTTCAGTGAACAGAACAAATGCTTTCCCTCTTCCTCCCCTCCAGTTCTCCACCCTATCATTCACTCACTTGTTCCTGCAGAAATCTCACGCACTCCGTACCCTTGATCCTGCCCATATATACATTGCAGATTTCTGTACAAGTGAGCAAGCTAATGATGAGAGGAGGAATCAGAGGAGAGAAGAGTTAAAATAGTAAAGACAAATGTGACACTTGGGAATGGCAGAAGGAAAGGGAGGGGTAGCCCAGTCTAACACCTTGCCACTGGTGTAATGGCTGAAAATTTTCATAAATAAAAGATAAATAAATTACAATTTTCTTTTTTCTTTCTCCATCATATGTATGTGTGTATGTGTTCAGTGGCATCACTAGGGAGGTGCAGTGAGTGCAGCCCACACCAGGTGACACCCCAGAAAAGGGATGACACCCAGTTGGGCCTGACTCCTGCTGTGCCCCTTCTGGCTTCTCTACGGTGGTGGAGGAGAGGGCCAAGTGCACCTCTCCCTACTTTGCTGAGGAGACTTCTGCCACTATGGAGAAGGAAAGGCCAAACCATGCCCTTTTAGCTGCCACTGTCCCTCCAGAAGCCCTGATGATAGGGATGGGACACCACTGTATGTGTATACATTTAAAATTCACTCACTCACTTACTGGGGCAGCAAAGAGAGAAAGGATGTTGGTTGGGGAGGCACCCAATCAGAATGAATCCAAAAGATGGACAGGCAAACAATAAGAGTTATTGGCATGCTGGAATGGGGGGAGAAAGTTTGCCGGGAGGGAATGTGTGGCTGGTTATGTTCATGTCATCTTGCTGTATTTGTGAGCATATGATGTTAACAGAATCACTGCAGGCTCACCGCAGATCAGGAAAATGCAAGGTGTGACCAATTTTTTTCATCAATGTAGACACTCCCTTGAACAACTTACTTTGCTGAACAATAATGCCTAGAATCCCTCAGCCAACATGGCTGCTAGGCCTTTCTGGGATATTGTAGCCTGAAAAATAACTTTCCAAGATCTTCCTTTGTTATTGTTTATAGTTGCATTTTGTGCCTTAATTTTATGGTATGCTTCTTTGAGTGTATGGGGTGCAGAAAGCAAGGACAGAAGCTGTTGTAAGAAGTAAACAGATAATAAATAAATGTCATTGCAGAGTACATCAAGGCTTATCATTCCAAAGCCAAAATGCACCCCTAGAGACAACAGTTGTAGCAAATTTACACATTTACACTTGTAACAGATGTGCATGTTTTAAAATAATATTTTAACAATATCCATAAGTTTATTAGCATTTTTAAAATGCAGAAACTCATTCTCCCATTTATAACTGTGCAAATTTTCAGTCATCACCGTGAATATAAAGTGTTACTCAGAGTTCATGATCAGAGCAATGACTCTGATCATTAATTGCAGTTTTACATTTGCAAAAATTAAAAATTATGTGCAGTAATACTTACTTGAAAAAACTGTTTGTGGTTTTCAAAAATAAATTCAGCTATCTGTTTAAAATAGGCTTCACATGATGCATTTTAGATTTTAATTACGGTAGCTAATGGTTTGGACTTTTATAAGACAAGCATATTCTTCATAAATGTTTCTTTTTTATTTTTTAAAAATATGCTTATTCTTTTACATTTCCTTTCAGAAGTAAGTGTAATAATTTATAGCATAATTGTGTTTAGCGAATGGTCACTGCTGTACAAATTGTGACTGGGGAAAATAAGCACTGTAATTTGTTTCTATAACCTATTGTATGAAGATATGACCTTTGCTTAAACTAAAAGCAGAAGAGAGAAATTTGACTCATAGCCTTTTCTTTTCCCTTTATGACAAAGTTGGCCTTGGATATTTTGCTGCCTTCCCAGGGAAAAAGACAAAATGGCACCCGTTCCACACTCCATATTCAGAAGCTGAATAACTTCCGTGCTGAATAATAAAAGATCATCCACTACTATAGACCAGTTTAGGGGGAAAGGACAGGCCATGAGGAGATAGGAAAAGTAACCTTTTGGGCACAATTCCCCCAGTTTCCCAACCAGTGTGGCCACATTGCGTGGAACAAATAGATCTGTCCTTCAGCAGGGGGAAATAACTAGGGAGCTCAACAAAAAGTTGCTCTCCACTTCCCAACATATGCCACTGGAGGCAGTTTCCTCATTCTGCCTAATGGTATGGCAAGTCTTTCTTCTTGGTCTTCTTGTGAGCATACTGCTATCCATCTTGCAGAAATATTCTGAAACTGGGAGGAGGGGAAATGGTGCTGGAAGAGGTTTTGGAGAAAGTGATGTCAAATGAGCTGGGAGATGAAAGCTTCCCATATTCTGTTATCCTGCTCTAAATCAGAGAATCATAGGGTTGGAAGAGACCACAAAGGCCATCCAGTCCAACCTCATTCTGCTTTTACTAAATTTTCTTTAAAAACATCACATCTTCCCAAATGTTCACTTTAACCACATGAAACCATGTACATGTAAATACATTTCGGTTGTGTATAACAGTTTTAAAAGAAGAAATCATCAACATACAAAGCAAAGAAAACTATTGCTGTATTTTCTAGTCCTTTATCGTGTTAAGCAGACATAATGCAGACATTCCAATAAAAAGAACTAGATCTGTTCATATTGTTAGAAAACTATACAGAAGTCCCTAGATCAGGGGTAGGCAACCTTTCCCCTTTAAGGGCCGAGGGACTTCAGCTCCCAGAAGCCTCAGCCATGTTGGCCAATAGTCCCATGTTGGCCAATAGCTCCTGGGATTCTGGGAGCTGAAGTCCCTCGGCCCTTAAAGGGGAAAGGTTGCCTACCCCTGCCATAGATAGCTGACCACCATGTGTGCAAGTAAGAAGAAAAATCATCTTTAGGAGCATAGAATGGTTTCTCTATCCATGCTTGTTGAGAGCAAAGAGGAAAGTGTGCTAGGAGACAAAGAATCATAAGCCTTTATTACCCTCAAGAAAAGGAGAGGTATGGGAAGGGACCTCTTTACAAGCAACACTGACAAAATGACCATAGAGATATACATCAGTATTTCTGTGTAGAATACCCCCTTTATAAGGAAAACAGAACTGCACACCAGCATTGATGCTCATACTCCAACACCTATACATAGTTGTACATAAAAGTCTTTCTCTTACATAGCTTTTAAAAAAAATTGGGGGATTAAATATTGGAACACTATCCTTAAATATTTTGTTTATCCTTCTAAAATACAGTAAAATATTGCATAATTCATTCGTTTCCCCCCCCCCCATTTTATACAGGGTGTGAAAGGCTTCAGGAAAAAAATGAGGGGGGCAGTTTTGGGGACCTTTTTTTCCCCCAAATCTCTGGAGGGTATGAATGGCCAATTTTATGCCAATTTCTTTAATGGGAGATTTGGGAAAGGGAGGACCCAATTGGCCCATAGGACACAATTTGTCAAGCCCTCTCCTGAGGTATGATTAAGGATCTCCCAGTATCCTATTTATTGATGCTTCGATTTGGTTTATATCCTACCTCTCTCTTTATGCATGACCCTAGGGCCCAATAACAAATCATGTGCGGTCAATGGGAGCAGAGAAAGATGAGCACTTGTAAACTCCATTGACTTGGGAAGCCACCACCTGCTATTGAAACACATTGCAAGGGGCTCATATTGGTACTGTACCTGCTAGTTTTATGTATATCCCACTGTTCTTCCAAAACTTGAAGAGCTCCGCCCTCAGCAAGATTGGCTAGAAAGCTACAAATAAAAATACAAAGGCCTGAATGTAGCCATGACAAATGAAGTGAAATTATTGTACTATAATTGTTTAGGGTGAAAGAGCCAGAGTTGCAAATCACTCATCTTGCATCCCCTTCTTTGGAAAACAACCTTGAAGGACTGGAGGCAAAACAAAAAGTATGAATCACTCTAATCTCTTTTTTTCTATACTCAAAAATCATGTGCAGAACCACCTTAGGATAAGGCCTTTTGTCTGTGTACAAAAGGATTTATTGCAGATGTGCAAGAGAGAAGAGAAGTCTTCCTTTATTAGCCACATTCCTGAAAAGGCAGACTATATTTATGTGAAGTTCTTTACATTGGTTAAATTTAACATCTACCTACAGAACCTCCCTGCTCCCAAACAATCCTCATGAAGGTCAA